AAAATAAATAATAATATAAAATAAATAAATAATACAAATTTAAAAAAAATTATCAAACAAATTATTATGTGCCTGAATAAATTTTTTGTATATTCGGGCAAATAGTAATTCATTAATTTAACATGTAGTCTAAGTTTTGTGTTCTGTTTTTTATTTTTACTTATCTAGATGCACTTACTTAAAAAAAGAGTATGGATGACATCCTGACGCTTTATTCTTATAGACTCTATTTTAGTTTAACATTTATTGTTTACCACTTGTTTGCCTACTGTTGTTTTATTTAATAAGAATACTTATATTTTGTTTAGTACCTTTGAATAAAAGTTTTATTTTTATCATACTTTTTATTTTGTTTCTTTGTGTCTTTTTACAAAATTGGAGTCTTTAAATGATGTGGATATTGGAGAAATGTGTGTGGCCACTGAGGGGTGTGGTTACTGAGGGGTGTGGTCAATGAGGAGCACTGTAAAGCTTCCTCGCACTGGGTGCCTACATGTCTAAGGCCGGTCCTGGTGGGGGGGGGGGGGGCCCTAAATAAGCAGACCTTACATTTTCACGCAACATATCACATCACAACTGGACAATTTACTAAAATAATGGACCAATCTGAGTCCCCTAGCCAATCATTTATTTTGTATATTGTATCAATGATATGTAAATAGACAAAGAGAAGGCGATCTGTTCTAATCTTTCACTTTCAGGGCCCGGTGCTGTAGTAGCGGGGGTGCAGAAGTTGCGGGTACCGGTGTAAACATTGGGGTTTCTCTGTCAGTGTGGCCCTGCTCTCTATCAGGATATCTGACAGTTCCTGTCTGTAATAAGGACAGAGGACACCAGGACAGCCACTCATTATGACACTCATTCACTTTGTGCCCGATCATTTAGGCCCTTACACTACATAGCTGTTGGTACATCTAAAGAAGATTGTACAGTCAGATTGTACGATGTATCGTGTGGGTCCTGCCAAAACAATTGATTTAATTTGCATTCGGTCATACAGACTCTCGCTCTACATAATTGGAAGATCTAAAGAAAATTGTACAACCAGACTGTGATGTGTATAGTCAGGTTTGGCATGTGTATGTGTCGTGAAATGACTGCGCTCCATACTCACTTCTCCCCGGCGGCTGTGCTTTCTGAGACAAGCAGACTGTACGTCATATTGGTGAACTGAGGAGGCCGCAAGCCGACCAAAATTGAGACCGATGCGTACGGACTCTTTTTCCCATGTCTGTCGATGGCTTGCACCCTGAGAGCATATTCCTTATTCCAAATCAGAGGTAATCCAGTTGTGCTGATGACACCCGTCTCCCTGTTCACCTCAAACTGCTGGACAGAACCTGAGAATAAAGTCATAAGTCAGAATCCTTATCCTGATATTCATCTACAATGTAAGACGCATTCGGCAGCCATTGAAAAGTGCAGTGATGGTGTCCTAAGTGTGGTAACCCATGCAGCCAATCACATTTCACTTTACTGTAGTCAGATCTGTTAAAAGATTGTTTCTGATTGACTGCTAAAAGTTCCTTAGAATATTGCAGTTGATCTTTGATTACGATACTAAATAGGACAATTTCTGATTTTTGCTGTAATGTTCTTTTTATTTTAAATAATGCAACACTTACAAACACTTCACTTCTCAGGGCTTATTCACACCAAATCCAGTGCGTTCCAGCACGGTTAGAGGCCGGAACGCACTGGATGGCATAGAGCAAGCCTCCCAGTTTTGGATGAAATTGTGATTTTATATCTGCTAGAGAACAATCCAGTCCATGCCATATATCAGGGGTGGGCAACTTCAGCCCTCCAGCTGTGCTTAAACTACATACTGTATCTGTGCATTCATCTGCCCCTGGGAATCATGCCTGTGGCTATCAGAGACTTACATTGCATCATGGGACTTGTAGTTCCACAACAGCTGGAGAGGTGGAAGTTGCCTATCCCTGCCATATATTATAGTATAAAGAGTCATTACTCACCTTCCATAAGGTAGTATGATATCCCACCGCCAGAGCTCTCATCATTGTAGTAATGGGCTAGCAGCTGGTACACAAAGGTGCCTTTTGGTGCTTTGGGATCTACACAAGCCAGGTAAGGGAAGGGATACATGGTCCACTCCAAACTCTCCTCTCTGGGCACAATGATGGTTATGTGGCACAGGTACCAGTCACTATCTGCAAATACAGGAAGCAGAAACTCAGGGCTACTGCCACCTCAAAAATAAGAAAGAACAGTTAGAACAAAACAAATCATGTTGGATAATGACAGTTGGCAACCACAATAAATGTGGGATGGCATTTTATAATTGCCTTTGTTCTGAACCTCCCACCTTATGGCCCAACTAAGGATGTGCAGGCAACTTTTCCATGTTACAGCGTGAGACTGATAATAGAAAATAAAAATGGCACCTCTAAAACGTATGCTCCTCACTTGGCCAACTCACATTCAAAACTACAAATGGAATGAACTAAGCCGGGGCAATAGTGAGATTTGAGGCCTTTCACCAGAAACTGAACATGCTACATAGACTTTTATATTTCAATTAAATGATATGAAAATGATACTGGAGGGGAAAGAATCAATGTTAAGTGTATGAACCTGAAGTAATGGCAATATTATATATTTAAATCTATTTCTTAAGTTTTCCAGGACTTTGGATTCCATTTGGAGCTGGCTGGTTCCTGATGGGACCTATGTTTGAGGCTCAGTCCACCGCAGCTGGCTCTTTCTTGGTTCAAAGCTGCAGCCGCTCTGCTCTGAGGCACTCTTCTAGGGCTGCAACAACTAATCGATAATAATCGACTATGAGAATAGTTGGCAATTTTTCTCATTATTGGTTAGTTGGGGGGGAGAGAGGAGAGAGAGAGAGAGAGAGAGAGAGTTTTTAAACCAACCAATTGATTAGTTAAAAAAATAATCGGGCAACTAATTGATTATGAAAATAATCGTTAGCTGCAGCCCCAGACTCTTCTCAACCGATCATGTGAAAATGGCCTAGCATCCCTCATAACCTGCTCTATCAGCTGTTTCAAAACCACTCCTTTGACTAAAATTTAAAGGCCAGGCCAGGGATAGGCAACCTCAACACTCTGAGGCATCAACCCCATGAGGCATTGCAAGACTCTGACAGCTTGAGGGCTTCTTCACACCATTTACAGTGCGTTCCAGCCGGGATGTGATACAGTGCGTTCCAGTAGCTTACCGCGCTGGTAACGTACTGTATATGGTGTGAATAACCCCATAGGCATTACTCCTAGAAACAGAGGCCTAATGGGGATTTGTAGTTTCGCCACAATGCCAAAGTTGTTTACCACTAGTCTAAGTAGATTAAACAACTCTGTCACTGATATTCAAAAGTCAATAATAAAGTCCACATTATCGTATCTAACCACTTCCCCTGCCCTGCAGAAAGAACATGGCCAACAGGGAAGGCAGAGGAGTCTTTGACATGGAAGCTGTGATTCACAGTCTGGCTGCACCTCCCCTACCCTGTGCAAGATTCACAATGGGAGACTACCTAAGTGGGCTGACTGGAGCAGACATTTCTTCCTGATTATGCACAAGTGATTTGTTTATAAGCTGGATATCTGGGGATCAGTGCACGGATTGCCTGCTGACCAGAACAGTACAGATTGGATGTCACCATTGTCTTACTCACCAGACCCATGTTAGGTCTATGGAGGGTCGGATGTAAACATATCCTGACCCCTCTTGTACCCCAACATATGCTAGATCAGGAACTACAACGGCTTGAGGTCTTCTTATGACTTCAGAGATGGAGCAAATGCTTGATGTGTTTCTTTCATGATGTTCCCATAGGTGAAAACCATAAATAAGGTTGGGGTATTAAATTACCTATAAGTCTTATTTGGATGTTCATGACAACAATGGCAGCACTGACACCTAACATATGTACCTATTATTGCAATGAATATTACGACCATTACAGTATAAAGGTGCCATTAGTAAAACCATACCAAGAACATTATCAGGACACACAATGTATTCATATGCAGCCAGAAATCATGCTTTATCCCACTGGCTGGACAACCCCTCCAGATCCTTTGATCAAGCTTGATGAAGAAAATTACAAAGATAAACCCACTTCCTGGATACAATGTGTCCACCATGAGCCCACCTGGACCATACAAGTAAGACCATTGCCATTGTGTCTGGATTAGCGGTGCCTGGTCATGAATGAAAGACACACTCGGTCTGTTTCTTATAGCTTCGTAGTTTCAGGGATTTCAGGCAGAAAAAACCATTAACACTTATCATGCACGAGTAAGGGCATGGGATGTCTTGCTAGAACAGCACGAAGAAAAGGGAAGGGGCGAAAAATTCACTTTATCAGGAAACTAGTTTGGTTTACTGTTTGCCACTACGACATAACACAATATAACAAATTATACACAGAATAGAAACAGAATATAATACCTAATGTTTTGGTAAAATATAAAAGACGGGGTCAGGCCGGGTAAATAGATACAAAACATGTCAAGCCTTAAAATTATGTTCGCCTGCGAAACTGCAAAAAACTACAATATACAAAATTTTCCATAGGCGATGCTTAAAAAGCTTTTACTACTCATCAGTTTAGTAAGCAGTAATTAATGGCCCTTTAAAAAAAAATGTTTACACTCAACTTTATTGCTATCACATAGGGGACTAATAATCCCCTATATGTAATAGCAAATATATTGTGACAGGTCAGACCCCTAATGTCACCTAAGGACCCCAAAGAAGCTGATGAAGCAGAGGTCTTCTTCCCCAGCTTCTTCTCCTGGCTCTAAGAGCCGGAGACTGTAAACTGTGATACCGGAAGTGATGTAATACACATCACTTTCGGGTCCAGTGATCGGAGTAGAGATCAGCGGCTGGAAGCTCAGGGGAGACCCGCCATTGCTGCACAGGGGACAGCGAATCCTGGGGAATCCGGCAGCAGCAGACGGGGCGGGGGGGGGCGACAGCCAGATCACTTGTACAGAAACAGCAATCTCCAGCTGTTTAAAATGATAGCAGCAGCCGTGTTCTTGGTATAACCACTTGAAGCGGGTGACGTGTATTTACGTGAACCCGTCTGAGGTGGTTAAATTATTATTATCATGATGATGATGATTATTATTGTTATTTAGATTATTATTATTGTTAATTGCAAGCATTATAAGGTCAGACCACCTGAAATTTACATTTTTAGCTTAGGCCAGGGAGAATCGCTCAACAGCATCTCTTTCTCTGCTGCTTGATGTGATGCAATTTCAATTTCTAAGACTACATTGCCCATCATGCATTGCTTCCAGCAAGTAATGACAATATGACATTGTTCAGATGTTGAGTTGCAGTTCAGAAGGCAGGGTGCATGAGAGTTGTGGCACAAGCAAGTGCATAGTCACAGGGCTGAGTGAAATGGTGTCAGTGCATTGAGGAACACATCCTATGGACATGTTCAATAAGTACGTTTACAGAATTCTACATCGGAATGGTTATTAGGAGTGGGATAGGACTTATGGAAATTTAATATAGAAATACAGATTTACTTTCAGTTTTTGACCGTAGATACCCTTTAACTATTATCTGAGATTTTAGTGATTGGGTTACCATATGGAGAGGACACCCTGGCACGATATCACTGTGAATCTGGTATGTATTCTGGTACACTTTCATTTGATTCATTTAAATGTTCATGACTGTCAAGTGTCAGTGGCCATATGGAGACTCCTAGGAGAAAAGGGACCAACAAAGGCAACCGGACGGTGAAAATCTTGTTTAATCTCATAAGGCTTGAGCAGTCACAAAGTGATGAGGACTGGAGAGCCCCCGCCCCCTCCTATTCATTGAGGAATGGGTTCTTCTTTTCAGCAGAGAGGCCGGGCCCATGGATTAGTCAGATGCTGGGGTTTAAACTGGGGCATTTTCCAGAACTGTTTAATCCCTTAAGCATGGCTGAATTTCTCTTCAAGGTGGCCACCAAAGCCTCTCCATACTTCACTTGCTGGATTTTCCTGGCAATGGACCTCATTGAAGCCGTAATTAAAAGTAAACCTTAGTCAGTGAATGTGAACAAAGTCACGTCTAGATGTTTATTCATGTTCACAAGTCCACAAAAGAGTTTTTCAGAGCCTCCATTGCCTCCAGGTTGGGGGAGATTTGACATTCCTGACATCATTTCAAACCACTTCACCTCATCATTGAGACGATTTCACTCCCGTGGCGTAAGATGGCTCTTCATAGACTGTTGTGGATTGCGTTGTGGATTCATCTGATAATATATTATACCTTATTTGTGGGCATATGTCCAAAAACATTTCCAGCATAGGTCAATGCAAACATGCGAATAGGTAAAAGGTAATAATGTACTAACTTACTGCTAGATGTATAGCAACCGGGTTGCGTTTGTAGGCTGCAGATAAAAAAAACAAATATGTTTCTGGTGTGTGATTTAGTCCCTGTTCACACCTGTAGAGACGCATGTTTGCCGACACGTGACAAAGCACGACATAAGAATTAGCATTATTTTCTATTGGGCCTGTTCACACATGTGTGTTACACTACCGTGCACCTCCGTAATGGGAATTGTGTTTATTTAGCATTTTTGGCCCCATAGACCTCAATTAGAGGACATGAATGATGGGTAACATGCTTTCTTGCACTTTTTTGGCTCATTGTTGTGCATAACCACCAGTCTTAGCCTATCAGCCTCTGCTCTAACCAGGCTTTATAGCAGGATGGAAGAAGCAGGCCACAGCATGATGGATCCAGAAGATGTTGTTACACTCGTGAGGGCAAGGATATTGTTCTAAAGCTGGCCATACACTGTGATGTGTTTTTTCATTCAGCCTAAGAACAACTCTTGATTCCACCATCCACGTTAATAGCATGGATGGGGGAATCTCCACCACTGGTCTGTTGGTGGTGTACTGTCGAAACAGAATACACAAACAGTAACTACAGTTGATTATTGGCCGCAGGCAGCGGCGTCACAAGGGGGGAGCGACAGTCCTTTTGGTGTCACCCCCTCTAAAAAGTCAGGCACTTAGTCATGGACTGAGAGCCCGACAGTGTCAGGGGATAGGAGGGGACCCGGCGGCATACCTCATCCCGCCGGGTGAACGCCCCCTCCTCTCTCTGCTGGCGTACATCATTAAGATGGCTGCCAGCAGGCGTCAATTAGATGACCACGTGTGCGCAATTACGTCAAATCGGGGTGTCACCTGGTCTCCGCTCTGGGTGACACCTAGGTTTGGGACGCCCCTGGCCGCAGGCACTGTTTGGCAGATAGTTTTGATCCTTCCACAAAGTCAATTGAAGGTTTGACTCTTGTCATATGGGGGTGGGTCCTGATGGGGCACCACACTGATTGTTTTTTGGGCACATAATTCCACCAATGTAGGGCCATCATAAGACCCTAGTGACCACCACTACACAAATGAGGAGCTCAGGTTTGGACTGAACCGGTCCAAACCTGAGTTCCTGTGAATATGGAAGAAAGCTCCTTACCCTGCTGCCCAATTAGCTGTGGCCAGGGAATTCTCCGCCTCCATCTGCACGTAAGCAAAAGGCCGGGATGCAGTGACGTTATTGACCTTATATGGCCATGTGTACATATAAGGTCAATGATGTCAGCAGAAGTATCCCACCCTTTTGTTTAAGGTGTATTTGCGGGACGGGAAATGCCCCAGCTCGCAGCTGATTGGACGGGTGGCCTATAGCACCTCCAAGTTCCGGGGAGCACAGGCTTGGTCTGGGTTCAGTCGGAACCTGAGCTCATCTCTATGCTTAAAGCCCTGTTATCCATGGAGCAGACTGACACAAGAGTATTGGAAAACTGACCACTCAGTACTATGTCTGATCAAATTAACATGGAGGGCATCAATGGGGTGCATTTCAATCCACCCCTCCCCCAACACAGTGTCTAATATTGGATAGGGGTTAGGAGATATGGCCACAGGTACTGAATTTTCCAATCCAGCACCTGTATGTGCAAGTGACAACAACGAGGGCACAGTCATCAATGTAAACCTGATAGAGGGTTCAACCCTTTCACAGTCTGCACAAAACTAAAATAGAGGTTTTGACTACAGTTGGGATTTAAGGTGATCCTTTCCCGTGATTAGTAAAGTAAGTAAATACCTACCTGTCCTGTGCCACCAGAACATTGCTGAGTCCTGTAATGACGGGGAGGTCAGAGGGAAGAATCAAACACTGGAGATGACCCAGGCGGTTGACAGTCCTGGAAAATGGTGGTTTCCCTTTGGTCAGCCAGGCATTTCTCTTGGAAGGAGTAGTGTTATAGCAGTGTGAGAAGGAAAGGTAAGTATTACTTCATTTCCAGGTATGGCTATAGTTGTATTTCCACACCTATGTGCTGATGTATAAATGTTCCGTCTAGTGTATAGCTGGGGGGATGTCATTTGCACAGCATATTGCCACTAGATGGAATTGGGAAGCATAGGAATTAACTATGCACTTGGCTAAAGCACTAGAGAACCGCATTTGCACAGCTATACACTGGTTGGAACATTTATAAATCAGCCCCTTAATGATACGTCCGCTTTAATGCAGTTTTACTTTTCTACCATAGCCATCTTGTTTTATGTACTGTTCTGTTCTTTACCTCTGCTGAAGATAAACAGGTCTTCGCAGGTTTCAGCAAGGTGGCCATTAATATCCCCGCAGACACATGTAAATCAAACAAATGCTGGGTTGGTATAGCTGATTTCCCTGTTTATAAACCAAATTGCTCATGTTGCGGAGGTGCAGGTCAGGTGACTGGCCCAACATGAACCCTGCGGGGACGCCACGCAGATGTGACCATATTAGTAAAATGTACTTGTTCTGACAGTCACCCCAGACTGAGCAGATGTAAACTAAACATGGATTGTGGCTAATTACTAAATATTATTTATATTCACTACTGTACCAAACAGTCCCAGTGAACTGAACATTCCCTTTGTTATTGCTGGGGTGATGTGGATGTACTGAGTAAGATATAGTGAACAGATCCTTGGCAGCACATCGGATGCCAGATGCACCTTAAAGTAGATTTAAACACTAACTGGATGACACTTAGTGTGCTAGAGCCCAATGTATAATAAATGTCTGCATGTTTTTCATGTCCATATCATACTTTTTTTTAATTCTTTTATGTATTTCAGTGCTGTTGAACTCCTCCATCCTCTTTCAGCAACTTCCTTTGAACGTTAACTTCAGCAATGGCGGCACATCATTGCTTTGGACCTGTTAACTGGTGGTGACAACGGTGGACTGTGTCTGTGCAATCGGCATTGCCATGGCCCTTTGTAATCTCCAGTATAGGCTTATGTAACTGAGTGACAAAGCAGCAATGCACCAGGGAGACAGTTGTCACTCCATTACAGGAAGTGCCGGAACAAGGCATGGTAGGATCACTGGGTATTCATTTAAAGCCCATCTTCGGGGCAAACCAAAACACTACCCTTGCAATGGGGCTAACCCCCACAATTCAAGGGTTGAGTGCTTGTTTTTTTTCTCGTGGCTAGAGTAAAGCACTTTTACATACATTTTCTGTGCTCCTGCCACCTCCTTCCGGGCTGCAAGACCGGTCCCCACAGCCTTTTCTCCCCTTCACTCCGGCGATCTAAGGACCGGTGACATCATAACGTCTAATGCAGGTTCCAGACACCTGCCAAGGGACAGGGAAAGTGGAGGGGTGAGAGGTAAGCACTGACCACCGGAGGAGAAGTGATCAGTTAAGTAAATCTGCTTCTCTCCAGCCCTCTAGGCTAAAA